TGAGAGGTCATAGGGGAGAGTTACTATGGTAATTGAGTAGTATCACCAGTAGTTTTGCTCTTATGAGCATTAAAGCACATAATAATAGACAAACAACAGTGGTTAAAGCAAGCAGGTAGGATTACTATGTTCTTTTGTCGGAAGTATATAATGTCTTGTAGTCAGTTTTAAAGACTTCTCAACCCCCAAATCCACCCAGCAGTCACCTGCTGAGTAATTTTGTATGCCTAATCTCTAGCCCTTAACTACAAGCTTTCTGCTAATTTGAGGCAAATGGGTATTTTTGACACTAAATAGGGCAGTAAAGAATCCCTGACCTAGAAAAACTCCATTCCAAGGCACTGAGAGCAGAAAAATATTCTTTCAGCATCCTTGTGAGACCTTTGGAATGACATAAAATAGCTTTGACTAAACTGTGCTGCAGCCTTCGATTAATGGTTTGCAGAAACTTGCTGAACATCCCTACTACAACTTCCCCCATAAAACTTGTCACTTCAGATTGCCATCAGCCACCACAACAATAATCATTTCATGCCTATTGCTAATTGCAAGCACAGCTGAGGCTCAGCGGGGTGCTCTTGCACAGTCCCAGGCCTTTATACCAGCCTCAATCTGTTGTATGGCACTTGTTCACACACAAAAAAACTACCAGTAAAGGCAGAAAGAGGCAGAGTCACAGGTTCCTTGTAATCCCTCTGCTACCCTGCTGACAACCCAGCCCTATAAGCATTCCTGGTTTTGTCCCACTCTTTACAAAAGCTGAAGTGACCTTAAGCTACTAGTATGTAAGCTTTTGAATGAAGAATACAGCTCCTTCAGGTGCCTTAAGAAGCAGTGTTGCATCTGGCTTACGAGATTCTGTTTGCAGCACCCCTGGGGTGAGCTGTGGCTTCCTGTAACATGTAAAATATGAGTGTGAACTCAAGGTTCATGGCAAGGAACAGGAGGTCATGCTTCCATTCAGCTCACACCAAAGAAGACGGGGGTTTGCAGATGTTCCTGGGTATGTGTAATGACACCACCTCCCGGAAAGCGCAGGAACCCAGCACAGGGCTTTTTTTTGATAAAATGTGCCACACAGTGTGTTACTTGCAGATTTATTCATATCAATTTTTGCAACTTATATATTCAGAGACAAACTTGCTATTTCAGCAACTTATTGATCATGCTTTTGCATTCAAAAAAAAAGGGGGGGGGGGGCGACACGAGGAAGCTTATTGCTCGAGCTGGTTGGGGTGTTGGATGGGCAGCCGTAGAAGCCCACCCCTTGGCGTGCTTCAGCTCCTCTAATGTCTGTCCAGGAGCAGCCCAGCCAGCCCACGGCCCACCTCATCTACCCAGGCCAGCACCCAGCAATGAGCGTCGCTGTGAAAGACAGAAGGGGAACAGGAAAACTAACCCGAAAGAGGGATTAAATTCCTGGCGGTGCAAATACGGGATCTACTTGCTGTTACTGGGCTCTGATAGCACCCAAAGGGCATCTGTTTGCATTTCCTCTGCTGTTAGCCAGGTCGCCTCCGCGGGAGCCCTGGTCCCTTCCCTGCTGACATCCCGGTGGATGTGTGGAATCCACCAGGATGCACCCTCCACAGCCATTCCTCACCCCGTGCCCCCAGACTGAGCTTAAATTGTCCTCTGAGCGATGGACAGGGATGCCAGCGAGCATCAGTAGTGTGTGTGTGCAGCAGGGAGTTATATGTGGAGTTGAGGTCCGTGGGACAGGGAGCATCAATGAGGTCTACTCGGTCTTTACAACCAGGTGTGAGGAGTTTTCAGAAAATATATTTACACTAGTTACTTCAGCGTGCCCGTGCCACAGCTTAGCTGGCGCTGGGGCTCCAGAAACATGCCCGAAATGTGTTGCAGCCCCATGGCGAGGCCCCATGTATTTGGGCTGTGCCCTCTGCGCCTGGTGTACGGGGACAAGCCCCCAGGCTGGAGCTGGAGCCCCGAGGAACCCTGCGTCCCTGGCACGCACACCGCTGCCCTTCGGGGAATGGCAGACCCAGCCGGAGAGAGCGAGGCGGCCGGTGTCCCGACAGAACCACACTGTGCTCTTTTGTTTGAAATGATCACGTTTCTGTTTCGGAGCATTTGGCTTTGTTGTTGTTTTTTTAATAATATAATCATATGCAAATGTTATCTTCTTTGGTAGGTTAGTCATGAATCAGAGGGCTTGTGCATCTTATAGCACATCAACACTAGTGATAGCTAAAGGGAACATTTAATTTATGGGCTAACTTATTTTTATGAATATGCAGGGCTTAAATTCAGCAGTTGGTGTGTGCTCTATGAAGTGACGTGACGGTTTTGTGTATCAAGATCAATGAATTAGACTTTGTCTTTTTCTTATAAAGCAGAAAGTCTTTGGAGTAACTTAGCTTTGAGAAAGAGAGCTCCTTTCATGCAGCCGAGCAATACGCCTGGCTGAGCCCTTGTCAGCTGGTGCTTAAGAGGAGAGGGGTACGATTCGGATTTGGCTCGGAGGAGTTTGCATCTCCCCAGAATCCAGCGTGTTGGAGTGCCTACCAGAAACACAGAAAAATGTTTCATTTTTCTTAATCTGAAGGGCTCGCAGCAGCAGTCACTTGCCAATAACCTCCGGGCAGAGGTTATAATTTCTGTTTCGGATCCATACAGCCATGTAGGTGTGGGTCAAACAGAAATGGCAGGACCTGCCTCCACCAGGGGCTTCTCATCTCGTTTAGAGGTGACATAAACACCAGGCAGATCGTTTTGTGGAAGACGAGAGGCAGCACTGGAAGGGAGAGGGCGTGCATATGTAACATACGGTCGCTTCGTTCCTCGGTGGGTTTTGATTTAAAGAGGTGGTGGAAGGAGGCGTTTGGGTGATCTGGGCATCCATGTGCCAACGCAGCCCTGGGTCACAGCTAATGTCACCCAAGAGCATGACTCATTTAAGCATGCTGATTGCAGAAAAGTGACATTATAAATGTTAACGATTTCTCTCTGTTTTGCCCATGTGGGCCTCCAGCATTACCAGGGAACCCAGGCAGATCCCCCAGTGACAGCAGTCGCTTTGTGCTTTTGGGCAGACCTACACCAGCTAACCCGGGTGCCCCACTCACAAGTCAACCCCCATCTGATGTCAGGACCTCAAGTGACAGCTAACAGTATCTGAGCTGGACTTCTGTTACGGAGAGACCTCCTGCTTGCCTGACTCAGTTTCATTCGAGCTCTTAGCTCTTGCCAGGTCTCCATCCTGGAGACGAAGGGCCAGCAGGAATCTCTGCCACAAGTTGCACAAGGTGTAAGCATCGAGCAAGAGATCACCCCATGCCATTTCTTTGGTGACTCTTCCACCCCTTTATTTCCTCCATTTTATTAAGAGGTGGTGTAGAAATAGAAGTACAGGAGCATCTTCACTGAAGTGGGGGCGAAAAACCCTTCCCCATGCAGCATGACTAATCTCTGCTGTCTGCTCCTGGTGGAGGGTAGCAGCTCCCAGGTGCATCACCGTATGGTTCAATAATGCGTGTTGAGCCCACATTTTTGTGATGCTGGGACTCATTTGTTTGCTTTGGTGAGCCTTGTGCCAGCTTGCAGGTGCTCCAGGACAGCAGTGCCTGCGGGTCTCAAAGCTGCCAGCTAAGCCCTCCCCGGGGAGAGCTTATGGTGTTGGAGCCACACGTCCAGCAGCACCATCCGCACGCTGCTCGCGGGCAGGCGCTGGCCTCTCAGCTGGTGTTGAAGGATGGAGGGTAACAAGTCACCGGCCTCAGTTTTGCAATTACAGAATATTCAGTTGTCTCCATTCACCTGCTGCGCTGGCAGCTTCAGCAGCTAGAGGGAAAAGGGCAGGTTTCTGCGTCAGAGACCCCCAGGCGAAGGCGCAGTGAATGGAGGCAGTAATACCTGCGTTCTTAGACTGATGCAAGGTTTTAGGCTAGTTGGGAAGGAGCTGCATTTCAGACTAACCTGGATGGCACTTGATCAGGATTTTTATAAACTGGTCCGGTGGGGTTTCTTTTATCTTTAACTGGTTCTAGGTTAACTGCAGCTGGTCCGCAGTACAGGTTTTGATCTGTCTGTGTGCGTAAAAGAGATTGCAGGAGAAGGGTGTGAGCGTGCATACGGAGGCGTGATGGGTCCCTGTATGCAGACCACTTTGTAGTCCACTGCTGCGCTGAGCACCGTGGGGAGGTTTGATTCCCCCCACACACAGAGCCCCCGCTTTTCCTTCTCTCGAGGGCTTTGCTGCTCGGCTGTGCGGCGTCAGACGTGCCATGCCAGCCCTGCGTGAGCGGGGCACTGATCCACAGCCCACCGGCGACTTCCCGCACTGCAGGGCTGGCAGGCTGCTGCCACGCAGCTGCAAGGCTTTTTCACAGCCAGGCAGCAAAATTTCAGCCCCTGGAGGGGCCCTGCGAGTTCAGCAGCTCGAAACAAGCTCATTTGTTTGCTGCTTTTCCATCTTTCATAATTGTGAGGGTGAAACCAAAGCATTTCCCACGCAGCCTGGGCAGGCGCCTGTAGGTGCTTACACCAGCATCCTCACCCGCAGCCAAACCTTGCCCCGCACGAGCCTCCCCTCCGCTCGCCGTCAGGGAACCAGACTCACCCCGTGGCTGTTTGTGGTTGAATTTCAAGACGGTAAGTACCTTGAGTGTGGGTCTGACACACTTAAAGGCAGGACTGTGCTCTCACTGAAGGGGGGGAACGGGTTAAAAAAATGGATTGGGCCAAACACACGCCACTGCTGGCAAGTCCCGTCAATGGCAAAATCAGATTATAAAAACCTTGCGGCGTTGCTGGTGGCCATTACCCCTCTTACTGAGTTTGTTGTCATTATTCAAATTTAAAAGCTCACGCATGGAAATTCTGTGTAAAGGAGGGTGCCTGTGTCCCCCTCTAAGTCTGTCATATCCCACGAACAGGCTGGCTAGCGGGCAAGGCTGGTGCTGGGCGCAGCCCGCGCCACGGCGGGCACAGCACGCAGCCCTCACGTGGTTGCTGGAGAAGTCCTGTCTCTCTTGCAGCAATGGTACACCAGCTCGATGAATGTTGTCTGCACCTGGCTGACAGACCGCATGGACCTGCAGCTTCACATTTACCAACTGAAAACTCTCATTAGGATAGTAAAGGTAATCGTCCCGTGTGTTTTCAATAGCATCTTGCTGTCAGAAGGAGCGTGTGTGTATGTCTGCATGTGTGCGGCATGTTCTCTTAGGCAAACTGTCGTCGGCAAATAAATTAAGCCATTCATTAAAATTCTTAAAAGTTAAGATACGTGGCATTTAGTGAAGGATAAACAGGAGCTTGAAATGCCTATAGATGCAAAATGCAGGTGTGCAAGTAAGAATAAACTGCTTGCATGAAAAAAGGGAAACACTATTGCTATTTGACCCTACCTGGACAGTAAACGCACCAAAATGAGCCTTTTTGTGGACAAGCATGTTGATCACACCAATGAACTCCAGAGTTAAAATGGGTTAAATCAAACCAAAAGTTTTTAACACTGTTTTACTAGAAACATTTAAGCCCAGCTATGGCTTGTGATTATCGTCAGAATGCAAATGAGGATTGTTCTCATAGTTAATTGAAGTCGTTTCTTTTACAATGGGTGTATATAATCAACTCTAAGAGATCACAAAGGTGAGATAACATACCCTGAAAGTAACGTTTTTTTCCTTGAGTGCACGTGTATGTGTATATGTGTGTGTGTGCGTGCCTTGGACTAATGATAATTATTTCAGTGTGAAATCACAGTGGTTTACATGAAATAATAAGATCACAGAAGGGGGTAAATATATTTTTGATCATTTTAGGTTCTATCTAATGCTTTTTGGTCTAGTATTTTATAATGTTTATGGTCTTGGGTGCAGTGAACACATTGAAGGCATGAATAAATTAAAACTGAAATGTATTAAATGTGCTTTTCGTAACTGAAAACAACAGGCACAGACAAATTATTTCTACTTGTCAGCTAGCTGGGGAAAGCTTTCTTCCTTGTGCTTTATTTATACCAATATTACATTCAGAAGCAGCTACAACAAATCCGAGGACTTTCTGAAATAGCAGAACAGTAAATAGCTTCCACGCAGAGCACAGAGCAGAATTAAATGAACTGCAAGGCCAGAGTTTTGTCTCACAGAGTCAAGAAGTTTTTAACCATAAATTCAAATAAATTTAAATGAGAGATATTAATGGTAATAACAAGGGAAATACAGCTGGCCATGGAAACGCAACTCCAGCTTCAGAATTAGGTGACGAAAGAGAGATTTAAGAAACACATGACGTGTGCTTATGTTTATACATCAACAATTTTCTCTGGTATCCTGGACTTAGCTTATTTAATCCCGATACTGTAGGTAGGATTGTTTAATATGGAGCATTCCGGGAACGTGTAATCACGTCTGCGGTTACGGGCAATAAGCGTTCTGCTGCATGAAGAAAAATAACTGACATTACGGGCAGGATGAACGCATCTAGAAGCAAGGGAAGTTAGTTGGAGCAGAGCCCCTATCTGTTGCTTCGATGTCCTTCTAGACCCCAGCCTACCACCCGCAAAGCTCCCCTGAGCAGCCCCCAGTACATCCCCGCTTTGAAGCCTGCACGCAGCCTCCCAGCCCGGCCACCCTGCAAAGGCAGGGCTGGAGTCGCAGAGCCATCATTTGTTGCCAAAGGGACCTCTGCCACGGCAAAGCGGTGGCCGGCAGAGACGGGACCCCCCCCGCGGGCAAAATGTCCGCGGGGCTGGGATTTCCCTGGGGTCCCAGCCTCTTCCAGTAGTGTCCCCAACCACGGAGCGCGGGGGCACGGGCTGACTCCTGGGGAGAAGCCGGGGTGCCGGTGTCGGCCCTGACCTCTGTGCTGTCTCCTCCTTCCTCCGTGCCTCTCCCCGCTTTAGAAAACGTACCGGGATTTCCGATTGCAAGGTGTGCTGGACTCCACCTTAAACAGCAAAACCTACGAGACCATCCGGAACCGGCTGACGGTAGAGGAGGCCACGGCGTCGGTCAGCGAAGGCGGAGGGCTCCAGGGGATCACCATGAAGGACAGCGATGAGGAAGATGAAGAGGACGACTAGGGAAGCTGGCCCGCAGGACCGGCTGGGGGTCGCCTGGTATCCGTGCATGTACCTCGTCTGTAACTCAGTTAGCCACATTAGGAATTTTTATGTCAGCTCTAAATGCCCATGAGAAGTTTACCAATACAAATGCCATGTTAGCTGTGTGGTAATAAGATTAGCACCTCTCTTTGATTCATTGGTTTCCTAATTTCATATCTATATGTTCATAAGCAATATGGAGCACCATTGTTTAATACTGTTAATGGAAAAACTACATAGAAAACATGCTAGGTGTGTCCCTGTTATAATTAAAGTTTAAACAATGCTTCATTAATGTACTGTATATACATTGATGGTAAATTGTTGTGAAGATGAGTGAATCGAGTCCTTTCATTTCTTTGTTTCTCTTCTGTGGATGCCAACTGCTTAAAATTAATAAAAAACCCAGCTTTGTTTTTAAAAGAAGAATGAGGCAATTACAAATGATTTTTTTGTTCTCTCTGTTCATTTTAAAAACCAGAAAACAAACAAACCCAGACAGCCATTTGAATCATTCCGCATCCTTGTTAATGTACCAGGTTCTTCCCTTCAATATGCAGTTAACTCCATAGAGGCTACATCCCAAAGGATTAGTCATTCTAATTGCCACACCAGATTAATCCTATCATTACGGATATATCATGCCACATTACAAGTCCAAAGCAGTTGTTTTATGTTGACGTTTGCTCCTCTAAATGTTACATTTTTGTTTAAATTTCAAATAACTGTGTATGTACAAAGACAACTTTATTTACAATCTTAGACTATACAAATGTGTTTATAATAATATATTGAATATTTATTTCAGTAGATTGTAACCATAATTTACAATTCCTCTGTTTCACAATGGTTTTTATATATGTCATGTACATTGCATTTTGACCAGTAACTGCATGTCCATCAGTCCCCCCTCCAGAGCTTTTACTTTCTGTGTAAAATAGTGATCCATCTTGCTTTTTTTGCCTTATACAAGCCGACAGTTGTAAAAGTGTGGGAACTGTGGCTTCTCAATAAATAACTATTCAGATGTCCTAAGAATAAATTATGGAGTCTTTTTATGTCTGCCTTAGAAAAAAAAAAAAATTACAAGCTGAGATGTAAGAGCCCCCACCTCTCAGAATAAAGGCATTTTCTTTTCTCATGGGTGTTTTTATAGTTTATTGATTAAGAAGATGGTTTCCTGATTTGCTCCCCAAGGTCAGGGTGGGACCAGAGTGTCTATTCCCCAGGTACAAGGGCATTTCTGCTGTCACCTCCGCAGTTGTTTCCACCATTATCTGCACTCTACGTCCTATGATTTGTCTCTGGACATCTAATTGATGGTCTGCCCTGGTATAGCCCCTGTCATTACATGGGAATCAGCCTTGCCCAACACTTACCTTCCACCAAAAGGCCTCAGTTTGTATTTTAAGCAGCCAATTGCAGCAGCTTCCAGGGCGTTTACAAACACGTGGCACGGGGCAAACCCCTAGCTGAAATTAAAAAGCAGGCTGGTTTGATGGAAAGCATGTTAGATGGGGAGTTTTCCAAGAGGCTTTGCAGTCGCTCCCTCCCAGTAGCCAATTCAAACCAAAAATTACTCCTGCTAGTCCAGGTTTCGGTCATTGGATAGAGAAACAGAAGAACTGATGCTCTTCACCCCCAAGCACAGCAACCTGTTGCCATCCTGCAGAATGAGGACAAATGTTCACCACCCACAAATAAAAGATGGGCACATGTTAGAAAAACATCCTGCCTAGACGAGCATGCCTGATATAATGAACCTTTAAACTGAACCATCTTCTGGTGCCCAAAGCCATGAGACACTCTCTGGACATAGGGGAGGAGGAGGAGGGGACCTCTGGAAACAGCCTGTGAAGGGGGTGTTGAGTCCCAAATGGGGCTGGGATAGTTACAGAGCCTGGAGCATATTCACCTGCAGTACTGGATTTTTGGGTCCCTTCCCTCTGTGGCAGAGTTTAGCACCTGGCTCTGGAGGTGCTCTGCAGCCCCATCTGGATGGCCATACCCTACACATTCAACACCCACCTACCCGTGGTGACCTGCATACACCACCCCGCCCTTGGAACCAGGACATTAGCAGGGGCTTTACTTTAGGAGTGGGTTGTAGGCATGCACATTTAGCACCGTTTACATGTTGACAAGCCATCTGATGCACTAGGACAGCCAAGTTTTGAACCCTGACTGTAGCCCAGAAGACCACTTCTTGGTTTTTGTCTTGCTCCATGATGCTGGTACAGGGAAGAGTTGCCAGGAAAAGCCATCTCTGAGGACTTAGGCAGGGATATGGCCTTGTGGTCTCTGACACAGGAAGCTCTTCCCCCTTCTTACCCACCCTCCAGCTGTGCAACTAGTTGGTCCTAAATCCCCGGAGGAACTGAGGTAGCAGTTGAGTGTTTAAGTCATACTGAGTCTACCAAAACCAGTTCAGGTGCCTCTGCAGGTCTGTCACTGGGACGCATACAAAAACCATCTGTATCTTGACATCATTATGCGTGGAGCCTTCAATCACACCCTCAAGCCCTCACAGGACTTGCCTGACAAAACAAGTCTCACAAGACATAAAGCAATGAAGAAACTGCAGGCACCACCTGGTCCCTTCTTTCTAGGTGGTTGAGGTCCACTTGAGACCCATACACATACTGATGCATATGTGTGCCCTCTTCATCCTCTCCCTCAGCTGTCCCAGATATTTATATGAAGGGCAACAGCTCCAAAAGGAGGCACTGAGAAAGCCCTACCTGGGGTGGTCACCAGGCTGGTAGCAAAGAACACTGGAGGAGACCCAAATTTGTAGCTCTGCTCCAAATCAGGCAGAGCAGAGCTGGAGAAACAGCTTGATTCTGCTCTGGAAATGGCTCCCTTTTTTTTTTTTTAACATGAAATATTTATTGGGTAAAAACACAGCCCACTTCCACCTGCCACCTTTCAAAATAGTGAGCCCTGCTCAGTTTTTTTGAATGAAAGAGTGTGGGCGCAGCCTTCAGGAGATGATCCTTAGCTGTGCATCACTAACACACATCGGTCCCTCCCGGAAACAGTGGTGACGGATACCCTCGTCTGAGTTTCTCTGTCATTAGCAATGACCTGGAGTGCTCCGTCCAGCTCTGGGGCCCCCAACAAAAGAAAGACATGGACCTGCCTGAGCAGGTCCAGAGGAGGCCCGTGAAGATGATCAGAGGGCTGGAGCACCTCTCCTGTGAAGACAGGCTGAGAGAGTTGGGGTTGTTCAGCCTGGAGAAGGGAAGGCTCTGGGAAGACCTTATAGCGGCCTTCCAGTCCCTAACGGGGGCCTACAGGAAAGCTGGAGAGGGACTTTTTACAAGGGCATGTAGTGGTAGGACAAGGGGCAATGGCTTTAAGCTGAAAGAGAGTAGGCTTAGATTAGGTATAAGGAAGAAGTTCTTCACTGTGAGGGTGGTGAGGCACTGGAACAGGTTTCCCAGAGAAGCTGTGGCTGCCCCATCCCTGGCAGTGTTCAAGGCCGGGTTGGATGGGGCTTTGAGCAACCTGGTCCAGCGGAAGGTGTCCCTGCCCACGGCAGGGGGGGCTGGAACTAGATGATCTTTAAGGTCCCTTCCAACCCCAGCCAGTCTAGGATTCTGTGACCCTATAGCCCGTGACAGTTTTTTGCATGTCCTCAAACCCCAATAAAGCACCTCAGAGACTCTGTAACAACCCTGAGGATATCAGGCTTGACCACACATTCAAAACAAGGAAGCATTAACCAGCTTACATCTTTTAAGGAGTTAGGACCCAAATGATGAGCTTCAAGTTACCTACTTCAGTGAGCAGTGAGAAGAGCTCATGTACGAGCAATGCTGCAAAGCAGGATTTAAGCTCCCACACCAGAGCCTGCAGCCTGTGGTGGAGCAAAGGAGCACGTTGGACCCTGATCCCCCCTGCCTTTAACCCTGCAAACGGTTACGTGGGTGCTGGCAGCCTGACCATGTCCTATATGGGTGCTGCACCACGGTACTAGGAGTGGGAAATGCCACCTTGGGTTAATTCTGCAGAAATGTTGAATCCAAAACGGTTTGGTTTTGTCTGAAAAATATAAATCCTGGTTTAAAGCCCTCCTGGCCATGGACTACACTTCAGACAGGACTTAGGCTCCTGCAGGGCAAAGCTACACCTCGGGCAACATCTAAAAGGGCTTGCTGACGGACAGGAGCACCCTGGCAAACCCAGCCAAGGAACACAAAGGTCTGCTGCTCGTTTCACTTCAACCCATCTCTGCGATGGAATGAGCTCCAACAGTCAAAGGACTTTCTGCCAGTACAACTGCACCTAGATGAAGAATCTGCCAGTACAGTTATGTCAATCAGTTTTGGGGAAAGAGGAAAATTTCATTCTTCTGCCAGCAAAATTTTAAATGATACATCAGGCCAAAACTTCTCTCATATTTACAGGGAAGTCCAGCGAAAATATCCTTTTTTTGACAGACTTACTTAAAGCATGTGGCATGGAGACTGAAAATGCTATCAACTATTTGACTGACAAGTGTCAGCAGCTGTTCATCCAATTTGTTTTATATTTCAGCAACTAACAGATTCTTTCCCCTCTGCTGTAATGCATGTCTCCTGGCCCATAGGCATCTTAGAAATTGCTTTTCTGCCTCTCTAGTGACCAAACCGTCAAAAATGTTAGAAGACAATTTGTGTTCAGAAGCATAAACAGGCACGCAGCAAAGCAAAAATGATTTTGTCAATGTTCAGGCTGTGTTCTTTTTGAAAAAGTCACAGCAAACCTAAGGCAAAAATTACTTCTCTAAGCTTTAAAAGAAAAAGCTAAAGCAAACAAAGCGCCTGATAAATCAGCACAGGTTAAACCATCAACTAGCAAGGAAAAAAGCAGTCATCTAATGGCCAACCAAAACGCAGCTGAGCCATAGTTCAACCTCTGCACTTTTTTGTGAAGTCCACAACCCTGCACTATTGCCACCGTCACCCATGTTTGTTCAGAAACCTGCTCCGTGGTGTCACGATTCAACAGAGCCACCGCTGTGTCAAGCTGAGTCCAGCTAGGAGAGTCCCTTAAGCCATTCACAAAAACCAGCCTTCTTCATCTTAGGTCTAGCAATGCTTTCTGAAACTCTTTGATCCCTGACTGCATATAATATGTTACAATTATTGCAGTTGCCACCCATTCTGAACTTGCTGGACTAAAAAGCTGGCATGACACCTCTCTCCGGTGAGCTGTATTCAGCGGTATTTCCTTTATTCAAGCACGTTTAGGCTCTGGAGCTAAACCTGAAGTGGTATTTTCCTCAGCCTTTCTAAAAGATACATATTCCATTTCAAGTTGTAAATCTGCATTTGTTGTAACTATGCAAAATATGGGAGAAAAAAAAGTGCAGAGATTATATGCAATCTGCCAGCAGAGTTGTGTGCCATGAGGAAAATGCCTCACAGGTCAAAACAAAGAAAAACACTGAGCAACAAATTAGTTGCAGGCAGTAGCTAATATGGAGATCAAAAGATTAAAATCAACAAGCAACGATGAAATCACTGGAATAATAGGAGCACTTAAGAAGATTAAGTCAATAACAGAGTCCAGTAGTACAAAAATAAGATCTTGATTATACTGTAAAATTTGATATTGGGAGAGCAAAAGCAATTACAACCACGACATGCTTCGCTCTCCCCGCCTTAGACCATCTTGGCTCATTTCCTATGTAAGGAATACAGTTGTTGAAATAAACAGAAATGTTATGACTCAAGTGCTCGATTCAAAAACAAACCAGGTGGTCAGATCAGATTGGGGACTGTCAAGATGGGGGTCTGTAAAACGAGGACTTGTTGCAGATCCTGGAGGATACGACAGCTGGGGGGAACAAAGGCCACACCATTTAGGACTGCTTTCGGCAGAGAGAGCTCCATCAGCAGCTGATCTCGGGGGGCTGTCCCAGGCTGTCAGCTGGAGAGGAGAAGCATGCACTGGAAGGGAGGAAGGAGGAGAGAAAGCTCAAAGTCTTGAAGTGAACATGGTGGTGAACTCGGATAACAGGGAAGGTTTTTTTCTATCCAGTTAAACCAGCAAAGATCGCAGGTTTGGTTTTGTGATGTACATCAGAGGCAGAGCACACGGCAGCCTCTGAGCCCATCTGGGACCCTCACATAAGGGAGAAAGAACACGTCC